TTGCCAGTCGCTGGCGTCTCTCCAGTGTCGGGAGAACCAATCTGCTGTAAGATTCGACTCCCCTGGTAAGTGTTCTGCGTGTATTGTGATGTTGCGTGGGAGGCAGTAGTCGAAGATTTCCTTCGTCAAATTCACCAGTGTTTGTGATCGGGTACCTCCCAAGTGATTGATGTACCGTACTGCCGATATGTTGTCCATCCGTAGAAGTATATAACAGTTGGATTGTACTTTCGTTAGGCTGCTTATAGCAAATGACCCCGCTAGTAGCTCCAGGCAATTGATGTGCATCAAGAGTTCTTGGGTTGTCCACATTCCTCCCGTGGATTCTTCTCCATCCGTGGCGCCCCATCCCAGTCGACTCGCGTCCGATTCCAGGACGAAGTCCGCTTAGTTGCTGAAGATGGCCCAACCATTCCAAGCTTGCATACAGTTGAGCTACCACTCGAGTTTTTAGCGTACTTCGTCCGTCAGTGGGACTGGTTCGTTGTACGTGGGGTTCCGTCTCAGGAAGCGGGCTTTCAACCATTGCATGGCACGGTAATGCAGAGGGCCTGGAAATATGGCTTGTATCGATGATGAAAGTAGGCCAATGATCCGTGCCAATTGGTGGAGCGGAATGGAGTCTAGTTTGAGTACTCTGCGGATCTCTTTCTTGATGGCCGTCACTTTCGAAGACGGGAGGTGGAGAGTGCAAGACCTGAAGTCTATCTCGAAGCCCAGGAATTGGATTTTCTGTACGGGGTTCATTGCGGATTTGGCCCTGTTGACGACGAAGCCCAGGGATTCTAACAATTGTACCGTATGGTCCGTATGTTGTACGGCCAGTTCCCTCGTTCTGCAGAATAAGAGAATGTCATCTAGGTAAATGATGCATCTGATCCTGTGGCTCCTGAGGTGTGTGACCACTGGTTTCAACATTTTCGTGAAGCACCATGATGCAGAACTCAGCCCGAAAGGGAGGCACGTGAATTGCCATGGGAAGCCATTCCATAAGAACTGAAGGAAGGGACCGCTGTCCTCGTGAATTGGGATCAATAAGTATGCGTCTTTGAGGTCTATGCACCTAAACCAATCCTTTTCTTGAAGGAGGTCCCTCAGTAAGTGTATGCCCTCCATTTTGAAGTGACTCTTGCGCGGGTCCGCGACCACCACGTCCTCTGTCTGTGCCCCTTTGGTAGTAGGGGTAGTGTTGTCTAGAGCCAGTGTCTTGATTGCGGGTAGAATTGCTGTGGGTGTCCCATACAAGGGCCTGATGGCCAGAATCGGCTGGTGGCAGGGCCCCGTTGCTGACCAGCCCTGAAAAAAGCACCCCTTGAAGGGTTGCCTCGGAAGACTTTGCGCATGGATGTGCGGGCTCTGTTCAGCGAGGTAAATATGTTGACATGCTTATTTAGCTCTTTCATAAAGGCCTCACTGAAGAGTTTGCCCAGTGCCTGTGGGTCCAGTTCTTTTACCCCCAGATCAGCCAGTTTAGGGTCTATGCGGAAAAGTGCTGTGCGGTGCCGCTCTGCTGAGGGGACTGCATTGGTATTTACGAGAAAGCAGAAACCCCTCTGGGTCCATTCTCAGATATCATGTGCCCACTCGTGCACTATGTCCGCTGTAAATGAGTCCGCTCTGGCGTAGGCATCATCCGCCAGGTACATCACATGTGCCAGTGGCCCCATCGTGTCCAGGAGCTTGTCTTGCTCCATAAACATCAGCATGAGCTGATTGAACTCCGGCGTAAAAGCCACCTTGTCTGGCAGTGATGGTCTGGGGCACTCCGCCCTCATCCTCTTGCGCATGTGTTTTTCCAGGGGTTTGCGTATCCAAAAATGCATAAACCTGAGGAGGTAATCAGGTGGGGCCCATTCCCCAGAGCAGGGGTGCTGAATGTTCCTGGGGTCAAACATTCTCTGCCCCGTGGCGTTCAGGAATATTTCTTGTTCCTGCGTGGTGGCTGTGGCGGAGGATTCCGCATCACCTTTACACTGGGGCTCACGCAGGAAAGTCTCCTTGACATAGGTGTTGGAGCCCCAATTGCCTTCGTCAGAGTCTGAGGCCTCTGCTTTCCACTCATCCAAGATGGACAGGGAGTGGGGCATATGTTTTTCCTCATCCGAGGACATCTCCCTTGTGTATGTGGGAGCCATCATCACAGGGCGCTTACTGCGCTTCAGTGGCGCCTTGCCTTTGGTGGCGGCCTTTTTGGACTCCTCGCCCTTCCAGTGGCCTTTTGCCAGGCAATTTTTCTCATCCGACTCCTCCGAGTTCTCCTTATTTTGGCGTTGTTTGCCAGCTGACTTGTTAGGTTCATTGGCTGTTGGTAGTACCTTCGCCATCGCCTTTTCCAAAGACGCAGCTACCGCTGCATTAATCATGGCCTGAAGGTCATTCGTATTTATTGTGTCCTCCATAATTCGGGCACTAACAGGCACAGGTATAAGTATAAGAGGTGAGGGGACCGTGTGGGAGGGACTTAGACAAGCCGTCGGCCAAATAATATTTATCACTCAGTGGCGTGAAATAGGACTCTTTGACACTGGGGCTCACCCAGGAGATCGGAACTGCTTTAACAGGTTCCATTAGGCAACATTTAGGGAATTTCCCAAATGGGGGCTCACCCCTTGCCAGGCTTCTAGGTTACACTTAACTGGCAGTCCCACTCCCCAGGGGTATTGACACAAACCTGTATAGGTCCAAATCCAAATTCACCTCTGCAATTGAGTTGGAAATCCTTCCAAACGAGAGCCTCAACTTACTTAGAGTTGTACTACTACGAAACTGCAACCACAAAATGGCCGCCGCGGGTCTCACGAGAGACCCTGGGTGGCTGACAGGGAAAAAGCCAGCTAAAAGCGATCACGGCTGAAATTCACGAAAGACCGGCTACTGGGCACATTCGACAGAAAAGTTCACGAACAACCGTTCGTTTGGTGAACCAAGCTGCCGAGCACTCCTGTGGAGAAATCCACAAACAGGCGGTACCTGGTAAGAACCTGGTCCTTTCGTGCAAATGTACACGAACAGTAAGCCTAATCAGCCTACTGTTCATGCAAAGAAGCACGAACCTTGAGTAGCCGCTCTGTTCGTGCAATATTAGTGCGAACAGGCGGAAAGAGACGAACGCACCAACACAATAGGAAGCCCGCTAGGTTAGGGGAAGGTGGGGGGGAGAGGATGGAACAATGCCGTCTCAGGACGGTCTGAGGTGAGAGGGGATAACCTCTCTAACGGCAATTGTTCAGGGTTGACACCAAAGGAACGGCTCCCCTGCCACCCGCAGTAAAAAAATACCAATTACCATAGATTTAGTATACAGAAATATAGCATAAAATCCAAACATGCATAAAAATACAGTACTCTGACATGACTTGTGATGGAGCAGCAAAGAAAGAGGAAATGATTGGTTATGCTTGGACTTATATACACTCTGACTCACTCTGATTGGTTCTTTCTTTTAACAGTTTTTTTCTTTGCTGCTATGGAGTTAGTAAAGAAAGTTAATGCAAAATATGAAGCCTCCTGTCATGTTATAAAATTATTTGCTCTAATATTGAAAAAAAAAAGTTGCTGTGCTTTCCAATGTATATGACAATATTTAATTGACATGAACAAATATTCATAAAAGACACATCACCAGGTAGAGAAGGCCCTGCTCATATTACAGTTGTAGTTTTACTGATATTAAAGAGACAGGGGGAGGTTTCTTCATTTTTTGCTGATGGGTTTTGTTTATTGATCTTTGATTTTTAATTAGTTTTGCTCCATAAGTTATCTCTTTTTGAACCTTCCTCCCAACTATCTGTATTTCTTTAGGAGACAGATTAGATGTCACGTATTCATCCACATATAAAAATGTGATTAATGACATATACTGTTCTGACAGGAAAAGTTGTGCCTAGCAACATTACTGTCCTGACAGGAAAAGTTGTGCTGAGCAGCAATCAAATCCACATGAGGGTTTGTGCTGAGCAAAGGCCGATTACAGCCTATCAGATCCAGAGGAGGGGTATTTAGGCCCAGTTCTCATCCTGCTCAGTGCCCTGTCGTGGTTTCCCTTGTGGTTGTCCGAGAGCGCGTTCCTGATTCAAGTTTCTTCTGGTTTTTGACTTTGGCTTTGATTTTGACTTCCCTGTATTCTGGTATCCCTGACTTCTGTCTTTCCCTTATCGTTGTGTCTCTTTCTGTATCCCCTGGCCTCGGCAAGTATCCTGACTATTCTTTGGTACGTTAAGTCTGGCCATTCTAAGGCCCGGTAATACATTACCTATTAGTCATCTGTGTGACACAATTCTACATACTGGATCAACTAGTAATCTTGACATTAGAGGACTTGATTTCACACATGTCCATTATAGGCAATATATTGATTGACATTGTGTCTGGGATAAGAAAGAGAAACCCATGACCCATCTAACTCCAAAATGATATAATCCTGAACCTCCTTACTTCCCTTCTCCTGAACTCATGCAGCTAGGTTTAACAAAGTTATCAAAGGCAAGAAAGGGCATGGTACGGTCCATGATTAGGCAGGAAAATGCGTACACCTAAGTCAGCTCAGGGACTGGCTATGGTGTTCATTATTTGTCACCTAATCAGCCTCCTTTCCAAGTTATATTACATATCTATGTCTATTATGTTGTATGCTCATGCCCAGGGGCGGACTGAGAGCCTTTGGGGCCCCCGGGCAAAATTAGATCCCAGGCCCTTTGAAGGCCAAATATATGTGCATTTTAATAAATGTTAAATATAATTCATAATACGGCATTCCTTTGGATGTGTGTATTGTGAAGACCTGTGTATCAATGCATGTTTGTATTTGAGTCTGTGTGAATGCACTTGTGCATGTCTGGATGACTACATGTGCTTTTTTGTATATAGTGTCTGTGTGAATGCATATGTGACAGGTGACAGAGTGTGTGAGGGAGAAGGTGACAGGTGGAAGAGTGTGGGAGGTTGTGACAGGTGGCAGAGTGAGGGGGTACCTGGTGGCAGAGTGAGGGAGGGGTTGAGTGGTGGCAGAGTGAGGGGGAGACACAGTGAGTGGGGGTGACTGGTGACAGAGTGAGGGAGTGGGTGACTAGTGACAGAGGGAAGGAGAGGGGGAGACTAGTGACAGAGGGAGGGAATGGGAGACTAGTGACAGAGTGAGGGAATGGGTGACTAGTGACAGAGTGAGGGGATGACTGGTGACAGAGTGAGGGGGGGGTGACTGTCACTAGTCACCCCATCCCTCTCTCTGTCACTAGTTACTCCCTCCCTAACTCTGTCACTGTGTCACCCGCTCCCTCCCTCTGTCACTAGTCACCCCCCTCCCTCACTCTGTCACTAATCACCCCATCCTTCTCTCTGTCACTAGTCACCCCATCCCTCTCTCTGTCACTAGTCACCCCATCCCTCTCTCTGTCACTAGTCACTCCCTCCCTAACTCTGTCATTGTGAAGGAAGGAAGGGGTGACTGGTGACACCTCACTCTGTCACATGTCATCCCCTCCCTCACTCTGTCATCAGTCATCCCCTTCCCTCACTCTGTCACCCCCTCACTCTGTCACTAGTCACCCCCTCACTCTAGTGACAGAGTGAGGGAGGGGGTGACTAGTGACAGAGTGAAGGAGGTGGTGACTGTCACTAGTCACCCCCTCCCCTCCCTCACTCTGTCACTAGTCACCCCCTCCCTCTCTCTGTCACTAGTCACCCCCTCCCTCACTATGTCACTAGTCACCCCCTTCCTCACTCTGTCACTAGTCACCCCTCTCTCACTCTGTCACTAAGGACAGAGGGGTGATTAGTGACAGAGTGAGGGAGGGGGTGACACAGTGACAGAGTTAGGAGGGAGTGATTAGTGACAGAGAGAGGGATGGGGTGACTAGTGACAGTCACCTCCTCCCTCACTCTGTCACTAGTCACCCCCTTCCCTCTCTCTGTCACTCCCTCACTCTGTCACTAGTGTGAGGGGGTTACTAGTGACAGAGTGAGGGAAGGGGTGACTAGTGGCAGAGTGAGGGAAGGAAGGGGTGACTAGTGACAGAGTGAGGGAGGTGGTGACTGTTACTAGTCAGCACCTCCCTCTGTCACTACTCCCTCCCTCCTCCTGTCACTACTCCCTCCCTTCTTCTGTCACTAGTCACCCCCTCCCTCACTCTGTCACCAGTCATCCCCTCCCTCACTCTGTCACCAGTCATCCCTTTCCCTCACTCTGTCACCCCCTCTCTCTGTCACTAGTCACCCCCTCACTCTGTCACTAGTCACCCCCTCACTCTAGTGACAGAGTGAGGGAGGGGGTGACTAGTGACAGAGTGAGAGAGAGGGTGGCTAGTGACAGAGTGAGGAAGGGGGTGACACAGTGAAAGAGTGAGGGAGGGGGTGACTAGTGACAGAGTGAAGGAGGTGGTGACTGTCACTAGTCACCCCCTCCCTCTCTCTGTCACTAGTGACACCCTCCCTCACTCTGTCACTAGTCACCCCCTCCCTCACTGTGACTAGTCACCCCCTCCCTCTCTGTCACTAGTGACACCCTCCCTCACTCTGTCACTAGTCACCCCCTCCCTCACTGTCACTAGTCACCCCCTCCCTCTCTCTGTCACTAGTCACACCCTCCCTCTCTCTGTCACTAGTCACACCCTCCCTCTCTCTGTCACTAGTCACACCCTCCCTCACTCTTTCACTAGAGTGAGGGGGTGACTAGTGACAGAGTGAGGGGGGTGACTAGTGACAGAGTGAGGGGGTGACAGAGTGAGGGGGTGACAGGTGACAGAGTGAGGGAAGGGGTGACTAGTGACAGAGGGAAGGAAGGGGTGACTAGTGACAGAGTGAGGGAGGGAGTGGGTGACACAGTGAGGGAGGTGGTGACTAGTGACAGAGTGAGGGAGGTGGTGACTGTCACTAGTCACTAGTCACCACCTCCCTCACTCTGTCCCTAGTCACCCCTCACTCTGTCACTAGTCACCCCTTCCCTCCCTAACTCTGTCAACTAGTCACAACTTCCCTCCCTCACTCTGTCACTATTCACACCCTCCCTCACTGTCACTAGAGTGAGGGGGTGACTAGTGACAGAGTGAGGGAAGGGGTGACTAGTGACAGAGTGAGGGAGGTGGTGACTGTCATTAGTCACCACCTCCCTCTGTCACTACTCCATCCCTCCTTCTGTCACTAGTCACCCCCTAACTCACTCTGTCACCAGTCATCCCCTCACTCTGTCACCAGTCATCCCCTCGCTCTAGTGACAGAGTGAGGGAGGGTGTGAGTAGTGACAGAGTGAGGGAGAGGGTGACTAGTGACAGAGTGAGGGAGAGGGTGACTAGTGACAGAGAGGGGGGGTGACTAGTGACAGTGAGGGGGGGTGACTGGTGACAGTGAGGGGGGGTGACTGGTGACAGTGAGGGGGTGACTAGTGACAGTGAGGGGGGATGACTAGTGACAGTGGGGGGGTGACTAGTGACAGTGAGGGGGTGACAGAGTGGGGGGGTGACTAGTGACAGTGGGGGGTGACTAGTGACAGTGGGGGGGTGACTGGTGACAGTGAGGGGGGTGACTGGTGATAGTGAGGGGGGGGGAAGGGGGTGGTTGGTGCCTACCTGCATCTCTGCTCCCTCTTCTCTCCCCGCCTGCTGCTCCTTCTCCATGCTGGGCTCTGTGTGAGAGGAGTAAACAGGAAGTGATGTCACTTCCTGGCCCCGCCTCTCCCATCACACAGAGCCGCATGGGAGAGGAAGCAGGAGACCTGGCAGGGAGGAGGTGAAGCTGCCAGGTCTCATGGGGGGGGGATGTGCAGAGCGGTAGGTTGTGGGGCCCCGCGCTGCATCAGGGGCCCCACAACCTATCAATTAAAAAGTTTTATTTTATTATTTTGCCGTTCCAGCTGGAGAGATCTCTGATCTCTCCAGCTGGAACAAGGCTGTGCTGCCGGGCCCCTGACTGCCTCGGGCCCTCGGTCCATGACCGAAGTGCCCGAGTGGTCAGTCCGCCCCTGGTGGTGGATGATCGTAGAATCCTTTCCATGGTGAAGAAAATCCCATTTACAACATTCATGAGGTAGGCCTATGATTATCTGTCAGGGTTTCTTTGCTGTTTTAAACAGCCACCCTTCCTTTTTCAGTGTCTGAGGTTTCCTGTACCCCAGAAGTCTCCTTGTTCCTGTGTTTCCTGTTTGCTCCTGGTTCCTGACTCTGGCCTTGTTCCTGACTCCGCTGCCCTCCGTGCTCCTGATCCTGGCTCGTCTGACTACCCGCTCTGGTGACTGACCCCTGCTTGCCTCCTGGACTTTGCTTTTTGGTGATTTCTTTGTTATTTATTAAATAAAGGTGTTTTTGCATCTAGATCTGTCTCTGTCTGGTTCCTGGTTCCTGACATTACGCAAGGGCCATGAATACAGATGGTACAGGCAATACACCTATACCTAACCTATTTACCCGGTGGGACCAGCAGAACCACCATTTGGACCAGTATGCCAATCTGAATCCAAAACCCGGCCAGCCTGCGATTGCGGCCGCCTCTGCCTCACTTCCTGTTCTAGCACCGGTTGTAGCCTCCGAACCTGTTGCGGCTAGAGGAATGACTGGGTCTGTCCCGCTCCCTCAGTATTTTGGGGGCAACCCAGCTCAGTGCAAAGAATTTATAAATCAGGTTAAAGGATACCTTGAAATGCTGCCCCAGGCATTTCCTACAGACAGCGACAAAGTCCAGTTCATGATTTCTTTGCTGTCTGAAAAAGCCCTAGCTTGGGCAAAACCTCTCTGGGAGGCAGAGAGGCCCATCATTTACAATTACCCTGAATTTGTTGCGTCCTTTAAAAGGGTTTTTGATATTCCAGCTCACTCCACCCCTACTGCCAAACAACTCATGTCTAATACTCAGGGCACGAAAACTATTGTTGAGTATGCCAGTGAATTCCGTACCATGGCAGCAGAGGGTGGCTGGAATAATGAGATTCTTGTGGCTGCCTTTGCACAGGGGCTATCCGATGTAATGAAAAATGAGATTGCAGGCAGAGAATTACCTAAAGATCTCGAGGAACTGATATCATTTGTCACCCTCATTGACATCAGACTCCGAGAGAGATCCTCATCCAGGGAGCGCCTGCGGAGGCCTCCAGTATGTTTGGCACCGAGCTTTTCCTGCCCACCCAAACCTCCCTCACCTCCCATGCCTCCTGGTCCTGAGTCCTCTGTCGGTGTGGAGCCGAGGCGGTTAGGTTTCTCACGCCTCTCTGTCGAGGAGAGAGCCTTTAGGAGGAGGGAGGGCCTGTGCCTATACTGCGGACACCACGGTCACATATTAAAGTTTTGCCCGATTCGTCCGGTAAAAGGCCCGTACCCAAGATACTGTCAGGGGCAGATCTTGGGGGGTCTTTCTGCAGACCCAGAGATAAATAAGGACAAACCCTTGGTGCCTATTATCCTCTCCTGGCCGGAGTCATCCATTAAAACCCGGGCATTTCTTGATTCTGGGGCCGCAGGATTGTTTATAGATTGTGCATTTGCATCAGAGCACTCTATACCCTTACAGCCTCGCAACTCCCCACTAGCTTTCGAAGCCATCGATGGCCGACCTATACAGCCACCCCTCGTGACCCAGGAAACCGTGCCCATATCTCTGGCTGTAGGGGCTCTACATCATGAGATGATCCAATTCCAGGTCATTTCCTCTCCATACTACCAGGTTGTTTTGGGATACCCTTGGCTACAGAAGCATAACCCCACAATTGATTGGCGCAAATCTGAGATATTATCTTGGTCCCAGCAATGCACATTTTCCTGTCTCCGGAAACCGATCAAAGTTTTGGGCACAGTTTCTGCCTCTTCCTTACCCGCTGAGTACCAAGAATTCCAAGATGTATTTGACAAAGGTCAAGCTAGCGTTCTGCCACCACAC